AGCAATCTCTGATATATTGCTAGAGACCAAACATCATGGACACTGACCACCTTCCGCTCTTCTCTCTCCTCTGCTCCATCATGCGCACTCCTTTCTTCTAAGCGCACCGGTTCCTCGCTGCTTGAAACATTTTCTCACTGCCTCCCGCATGTGGACTATTCGACCCTTCTAGTCCGTAGAAACCCTCCCTGCGGATTTTCAAGTACTTTATCATTGCCAATAATTGGCCTTTTTTTTACAGTGAAATATACGCGGCCTCAGGGGTAATCGGTGAGCTTCAGATGTATACTCTCCCAGTTTGCCACTGTTGGTGTATCTTGACAGGAAACCAAATTAACGCTGCCTTGTTAATTCTCAACTTCTCAGGCTATAATTTATTGTATTCCTTCAGATCCTTTTCCTGATGGGACCTTTAATGAAAGTGCCCATCACTCCGCACAGATATTCCGTTATCCATCAGCTATTATTCATACTTCGCTGCATTACACAGCACCCGTATCCACCTTTACAGTAGGGTGGGTATACGCTCTTTCTTTACTATCTCTCTCCTACTCGGGCATTATCTATTCCGGATTTTACCGTTCCTTGTTTCGTCAATTACCCGCCACCGTTTTCTGTTTACTTTGGTGATTTAATGCCCACCATTTCCTCTGGGGAGGTCCCTCACTGTGATTCCCTGAAATTCAGTTTAGAGGCCTTTTCTTGCCACCCACCCCCTCCATGTTTTAAATACAGTACTCACACCCATTTTGATCCTCGGACTCATACTCTCTCTTGCATCGATCTCTCAGTTTTGCTCATCCTCCGCCGCAATTAGGACTTTACTTTGGTCTGTTCTCCCGGACTTACATGACTGTGATCATTTCCCAATCATTCTTACATCCCCTTCATATTCGCCACCTCTTTTCGCACACCCACGCTGGCAATTTTATCGGCAAATTGAACCTTTACTCACACCTCTGTTTTTAAAAGAGGTTTTCCTTCTCGTACTCCCATCGATGAGCTTTTACAAAACACCTCTTCACGTCCCTCGTCATTTTCACCGCACTACTCATTCTATACCCGCAAACTTTCGGGCAGGCATTCTCTGAAATGCTTGCCTTGGTGTCTCCTGCTTGTGCTCGTGGGGGCAGTAACGTTTGAAACCGCGCTGCATTGGGCAGGTACCGTACAATAGAACCACAGAGCGACTCTCCTTGATTTTAAACCAAAGTGTGCGATCGCGCGCCGTGTCATCCGTGACGCTAAACGCACTTGCTGGCGAGATTGTCTCCCACCATCACCCTGCTTCCTCTATGATGCAGTCCTGAAAAAATACAAAACTGAGTGGTATATATTCTCCTGACCCGGCTCCTGTTCTGGCGTTTGCCGGTGTAGATATACAAACCCACTAGATTTGCCAATGAAAATTGGGCAATCATCTGGTCCGTATTTCTCAGGGACTCCATCTATGCCCCTCATTTCTTTCCTCAAAGTCTGCCAGAGAGTTAGCACCTCTAGGACTTTTCTTTCTCTCAAGAAGAACAGTATAATGTGCCTTTTACTCTTCAAAACTGGAGGCAACACTCTCAGCTTGCGATCATCGGCAGCTGGGCCCGACCGACATTCAAAATTCGTATGCTACAACATTTACATGACAGTCAGACCCTTTCAGTCCCTATTAACGCCTTAACAATCTTATTTGGTCACAAGGAGTTTCTTCCACAGCTGTGGAAATCCGCCATTTGTTTTCTCCTTTCGCAAAACCGGGCAACGACGGGACATGAACCTCCCACTAACGTCCATGCTCTTACCAGTGCAGTTTGCAAAGTAATGGAACGTCTAGTAATTAGACGTTAGTGTGGTATTTAGAGACACACAACAGTCTCTCCACTCCGTCAATATGGCTTTCGTAAGGGACGTTTCTACTTAGACCCTTACTGGCGCTTGGATACGTATGTACGAAAATGCCTTTGCCGAATACCACTGCATTATGCCATATTTTTGACCTTGAAAGGCCATATGACACAACTTGGAGGTATAATATTTAGGCCCAAGCCCACTCCATAGGCCTTCGAGGCAATCTACCATCCTCTTTAGAACTTTTTTAACTACAGGCATTTCGTGTTTTCGGGTTACTAATGTGCTCTCACCCGACTTTGTCCAAGCTGAAGGTGTCCCCCCAGGGATGTGTTCTGAAGCACAACACTTTTTCACCTTGCTATTAATGATTAAGCCTCTAGTCTTTCATCAAATATTGGTCATCACGCTAAGTTGATGACTTCGCTATTGCCTGGTGCCGGCGCTGACTGGTCAGACCTCCAACAGTTTCTCTCCAGCATGCAGTCGACCGTGTGGTTCCAATTGGGCACCACACCTGGGTTTAAATTTTTTCCAGGCACTAAAAACCCACCAAATCACTTTCAACTAAGACGCTCTGTCATCTCTGTTCATCCTTTGTACCTCTATGGCTCAAGCTCACGTAAATCCCTGAACGTGATACTGTCCAAGTTTCTGGCATCCTCTTTGATCGTAGGTTTATCCAGGAAACCTCACATTACCTCTCAGAAGCACCTTGTCACAGCCGGCTAAACCTTTTCTTAAAACCCGTGCTCAACTTTCGTGGGAGCAGATCGTCGAACCCTCCTCACCTACATTCACCCTTATTTTAATCAAACTTGATTATGGGGACCAGATCTATTCAGCGCATCTCCTGCTACTCTCTACTAGCCTTAACGCCAATTCATCCCCAAGGATTACGTTTAAATGCCATTGGTGCTTTTCGCTCTTCCCCTGTCGAAAGCCTCTATGCAGAAGCGAACGTTCACCTTATCCGAACGCCGTGATGCCCCCATTTGGGTGGGGGGAGCCTTCGCTACTATGTACGCTCTCATGATCTCCGCATCCTTCCATTTACAATGGTCACAGAAATTAGGTAGAACATTCTTTATTTGTGCGCCGCCCCTGCTTACTCCGTCCCATTCTCTATTTTCGCCTTCATTCGCTCTTGTCTTCACTTTCACACCACCTTTACTATGTTACATGTACATCTCAGCTTTCCCTACCCCCCTGGTAAGTTCCAGCTGTTCGAGTCTGTTCTTTCTCCCTCCCCTTGCTCGAAAGCCCAACTGTCTACTTCACTTCCCGCTCTCTTTTTCTTGACCAACTTTCACTCTCATTCACATGCCATTGCTGGTACAAAGATGGCTCTAAGTCTTCTTGACGGCGTAGATTCGCAGCATGTTTCCGACAGCGACGTACAAGGGCATTTTTACTATCTTCAGCTATATTATTTACTGCTGAATTATATGCCATCCCTACAGCACATAACCCGTATTGCAATCTATGCCTGTGTCGTCATTTGTGTTGTTCTCAAGACTCCCATGTGCTTTACAGGCTATACAAAAATTTGATACACCTCACCCCTTAGTCCTCCGTATCCAACTTTTGGCTAAGCCGCACTCTTTACTAATCATAAAGATATTGTTTTTGTTGGGTCCTCCCCCTGTCATGTTGACGTACAAGGGCAATGACAGCAGACACTGCTGCGCGGTCAGCAGTACATGACTTACCAGTTTCTTATAGAGGAAATTCCAAGTACGGACTCATTTGCTGTAATATTCTCCCACCTTCACACCCGTTTGCAACAACGTGGTCTACTATGCTCGCAACAAACTTCAGTCTATTAAACACGAGTATAGTTACTGGCCTTCCTTCATATCACCAGTGGTCGAGGTTGGGAGACTACTCCTCCGTCTTCCGCATGGCCATACTCGGCTTACTCATGGATATCACATGGAGAGCGTCCTTGCTCCTCTCTGTGAGAATTGCCAAGCTCCCATTATCATTCAGAGAGCCACATTCTGTTGACTGCCCAACGTTATCAAACGAGCACGCAGTATTACCTCCCTGTCGTCGTCTTACGCCCCGCTGCTCTCTCTTTACCTTTCCCTTCTCGCTGATGGACCCACCTTTCATCCCGGATCCGCTCATGACTTTGAGACAACGACTGACATTACTTTAAACAAATTTCTGATACTTCAGCCCCTTTCTACTTGTAACTCTTGCTACCCTACCCCGTACTATCCCTTGCCCCGCTGTTTTCTGTAACTGCTGATCATCCCCCCCTCCCTTCGCCATCCAATTCCCTTGCTTCCTTCCCTACCCTGCAGCGCTGTATAGAGGCCCCTTGTGCTTAGCGCATTCTTTTTGATTATAAATAAAAATCTCAGCGAAACAGATGAATGGGAGAGGGAGTTTTCAGGTTGGACGAATGAAGATGATTAGGTCAGAAGGTGGGAAGACATTTTGGAGATATTCAGCGAGTGATTTAGGGAGTTTTTGAACTCCAAGTGTGTGTGATGTGGTAAGGACCTAATGTTAAGTGGGAGAAGTTGTTGTAGAGGGCGTAGTACGTCGTCTGGGGTATCCTGGAAGTTTACCTGGAGAGAGTTTCGGGGTCAAACTCCCCCCCGCCCGGTCGTGACCAGGCCCTCCTGGTGGATCAAGAGACAATCATAAATATTTCTGTATGTACAAGAGAATCAATATCAATTATATGATCTTTAAGAAGTACTTCCAAAATACGCATACTATGTTACTCGCCTAGTTTTTGTGGTTGCAGGGTCCGAATCACAGCTCCTGGCCCGCTCTTCCACTGGTCGCCACTAGGTCACAACTGCTCCATGAGCTTTATCATACCTCTAAATAAAGCTATGTTAAGATCCTACCATCGACTACATGACCTCCCAACTGTCCACTCCTACAACTCGACTGAAGAAATACCTTCCGAATCCCTGTGATTCCTCTGAGTCGTCAATTTCCAACTGTGACCCCTTGTTGCTTTGTTCCATCTCTGTAACATCCTGTCTCTTTCTAAACTTTCCAGTTCCTCTCGTATTTTATATGTCATAAATCCCCCCCTGTCTCTCCTGTCTCCATTCGTCAGGTCATTTCCCTTAACCTCTCCAGGTATACACCAACCTGGCATTCAGGATAAGACGACTTTTATTCTGTTGCAGCGTTGCCAGATACTGAAAACTGAAAAACCACGTTCAAACACATTTGTTTATAAGAGGACTTCACTGGAGACTTCATAGAGGCGAAGTGTTAATGCCGAGCCAGCTTAGTAACAGGTGAGCAACTGTTGGAAAGGTCAGTCCTCGGGTCCTGACCATATAAATTATCATTTTGCATAAACACAACACATTTTTAAATGTTGGTCCAACTTTATGTTTATTATTCGTGAAAAATTCAAGAACAGTTTATATAAGGTTTTTCGTGGATTAAAAAATTTGGTTTCCTTAAACAATCTGTTCGTTTCTATGTAATATTGAATAAGTTGACAAGTGTAATTTATAAGCAACATGTAAAACAAAATTAATTGAACCTGTTGAATAACTGAAGTAAATATGTTAGTGTACGAGAACAGGTATACAAACGACAAGATGATTTTAGACACGTGGTGCAACATCGTTATCTTTGTAGACGTGTCGCCAACCATTGGCTTTTATCAGTTAAACTAAAGACTCTTGTGAATATAGTTTTTTCTATAGTCTTTCAATAATGTCCTTTATTGTGGCGAAATGTCTACAAATAAAGATACCCAGATGTTAACTCATGTGTCTGTTCTTCAGATAAGTTATTGTTGTCATTATCCTCACTCTCACTGTTGATGGTAATAAGTGATTTATTTGTAGCTACAATAGCAAGACTTCAGTTGTGTTTGCTCATCTTCAATTTTTAGACTATCGTAGTTTTTAGAATTTTCAATGATTGTACAGAGCACAGAGTACAGTGTCCAGTGTAAATAATTTTCCTCCTTGTTGTACCACTGCAAATATTCTATATGAATCCTTTAGTTATCTTTGCTTAGTTTAGTGCTATGCCGCTCACTGTGTCATTGAAGTTAATAAATCTTCCTCCTGGATGAAGGTGATAACAATTCAATCACAAACGGGTCAGCCCGATTTATATTTTTTTTTTTTTTTTTTTTTTTTCAGCTCTTATTAGTAGTTCCATTTTATTGATCTAGGTCAGGATTGTGTTTTTACACAGGTTTGACAAAGGTAGGCTCAGACCCTAGTTTTTGAACAAGCTATTTAACCAGCTAAGAGCTGGTAACTACATCAAGCTAAAATATCTATTGTCAATACTGTTTTTTTTCTCTTCTTTTTAGAATGAAGAATTAATACTATTGCTGTAATTGTAATTTGATCTAAAGGAAGATGTGACGTTTTTTTTCTACATTTACCTGTTTGTAGTACTAAACACTATTTTATATTGGTAAACAAAGGGTGTTGTTTATTCTTCTAGTTAACTCCTAAATACAGCTACTAGGTCCTTTACTTTATTTTTAGAATAATACTGTATAAATTCTTTAAATTCTTCCTTTCGTCAGCTTGTCAACTTTTTTTTTAAAAAAACCCTTTACTTTATAATCTTTTGTGTCTTGTTACCAATTATCCATCTCATACACTACTCTCTCATCAGTCCAGTTTTTCCCTGCAGAGAGTCATTTTTTAGTCCTTTTTGCCTATAATTTTTTAAATCTGAAAAAAGTATTCTCTTAAAACCTCTGCCCCTCCGAGTGAGGGTCACCCAAAATGTCTTGTGCGTTTGCCATAGTGTGTTGCCGTTACAATTCGGTTGATTCTCCAAACTGCAAGATTCGAGCTACCTAACCCATTTTATCCTCATGCCCTTCGATAAGTCTTACCTTTGCTCACACTCCGGCCATAAATTAAAAAAAAATCCTCTGTCTACCTCAACCATCTATAAACCACCTGTACATTCCGCCCCTTCCAGCCTCTTCATACCCACATAAAGCTACTTTACTCTGAAACAGTATCTTTTCTCTTCCTTAAGATACATCTGTCTCCACAGACGTCTGAAAATCATCACCACCCTTTTTTTCCCTGGTCAGTTTACTTTCGTTCATTGACCAATCTTACGACAATTTTCACTTCCCAAACTTTTTGTTTTTCTCCTCATCTTGCTCTTTTATCTGTTCACAATTTTAATTTTTATTACATAACCTCCCAATCATCGTCCACTAACATTTGTAACTTGTCTTCAGAATCCCCCTCATAAGAACTGACCATCTGAAAAGAGCAATGTGGCAACTCCCACACTTGTATAGAATTCATTATCCTATTATCTCGCTCCCCTTGTTATTCAATTAGTTATAACAACCTCCATTTGTAAATGTTTTAATGCATCCTTGTCGAAAGCCTAACACTACTGGAAAAATAATCCACCCCCCCCCCACTTTTCTACATATCCTAATTGAGAGCTTTATTATCTGCGATACATGCTTTCTTTCTAAGCAGTAGTGTGAATATTAATCGAGACACTGAATGAAATAATACTTGTATTTGGAAACTAAATGTTTATTTGAAAAATACACGCAATAATATGAGAAAGATATGACTATCCTTACTATAATAAGCATATTCTATCATCGCTTTGGCATAGAATCGAAACAATGCTGAACACATTTTGGTATGCTCTTCGTCCGTGGATACCAGGTCCTAATAACAGAGCAATTAGCTTCTCCACCACAGTTTAAGCAGTCCTGTTTTGCATTCCGCGTTTGACTATGTCCATAGATTCTCAGTTGGGTTGAGGTCAGGAGAGTTTCCAGGACAATTTAGTTAGAACGCGTCGAAGAATTCAGTATATTCTGTGATTGTGGCATGGAGCAAGATCCTGCTGGAAAAGGCTTTCTTCCTCAGGAAAGTCTCGTCCACACTGGAAAAAGCAAAATGCAAGTGTTAGTGTTTCAGCAGAGGTTTGTGGATATACGGAGGTGGGTGCGGGGAGGGAAGAAGAGCAATTGGGGAATGATGAGCTAGAGAGAGCAATAAGAGAAAAAAGTTAGTATATGAGAAGTTTATTACAAAGTGAAGTGATATGAGGAGGGATATGCAAAAGAAGAGCAGATCAGAGTGAGGTGACATGTGTCGACTATTTTTTTCTGAGAATAGAGTCCCCCTTATAGGGAGGCTCCTTGGCGAACACGCCCCCCGCAGTCTGAAAATTAGACTTCCTCAGGATCGAACCTAATACCCCCAATTTTACCCTTCCCGTTCCTCTTCGCTCCCTAGCCTCCACTTTCCCTTTCTTATTTTGCCTTTGATGGTTGTTTCCTTAGGCTATGCTGTTTTCAGACCAAAGAAAGGGTTCTGGGGGTCCATCTCCTTAAGTTGAGGTCTTTGTGGGAAGTGTAGTTTTGCTGTGGAATCTGATCATCTAGAGATCCCATCCCAGCTCCGGTCTACCGATGGGGGAGGGGGGCTCCAATTGTCTTTATGGGTGATGGGTGTATCTCTGGAGGGCTGCCAGTCTGATTTCCTGGTGGTGGTAAGCCGAAGGATGAATGCTTTGGCTGGCGGTTCCTCCGATCCGCCCTCCCTTTTGTCCTACGAGGCCTCGGAAGATGCGAGATTGCAGGTTTGCTGACTTGAAAAGGGTAGGGTATGGCAAAAATTAGGTTCATGCCGCATCTGCACTTTTTGGTTCTGCTGAGGATTGTCCTCTTGGCAGGGAAAGGGAGACTTTGCAGTTTCTTTCCCCTTGCGAGCTACCCTTCTTGCTTCCCACCTTTTTTTTTATCTAAAAACAAAAGAAAAGTTGATATAACCATGGAGTCTTAAGTCCATGAACCACCACCACCTCCTGGCTCCTTCCGTAGCAGTACCTCTGACGACCTTGCTGTTACGACCATTCTTCCGACCATTCTAACAGCCCCTTCTGTATCTTTGTGGTGACAAATTGTCCCACACTCAAGATAGAGGCTCAGCCTGACTCATTTGACCCCTCTGACCTCTACATGTCTTAGAAACTGTGGGCCTTCTGGCCTCTCTTCAAATGGTGCGACGGTTTTCAGATACTTGCTTGCCCCCCTCAAACGGACCACCTCCGGTCCCTGTATTTAAACTACTGCGACCTTCTTTCTGAATGACATTGTTTTCGACTCTCTCTGCTCAGAAAAGACCAAACACGACAGTCACTTCCTTTATATCTACGCATTAAGGACACAAAGACAAGTTTTTTCACTACAACCAACATCTTCAGAATAACTTTCTTAACATAGTATCAGCAAGGCGCTCCTACGCCATGTTGGTCGCAATATTCCGTTTCATGCTTTCCAAGCGGTGTAATGCATCGTCACAGTACAGAATGCTAGCCAAGCTCACGACCTTTCTTCTCCTTATACATAAGATGCCATTTCTGTGACACTTGTAAACATCAATTTCTCAATTCTTGCAGTGGTATTGTCATTCTAACCACATTACCATGTTCAACGTAATTTACAAACATGCGGTGAAGACATTCTGGCACAGCTTGAACCTCCAAGATCTCCGATCCTTCTAAAGTAGATACGTAAGTACTGCCTGCAGTTCAGAAGTCCGACAGGTGACCCCTACACCACAACAGTGTAGAAATGAGCTTGGCATTTGGCCATCAGCGAAATATTTCAGGTCCATGCTGAATCCCAGTCTGTGGTGCCGATGACCATACCAATACATCTTGTGCGTACCTCCCTCATGCCTTAAAACTATCATGAAGCTCATCTATCGTATTGTCGTCGTATGCCAGGTTTACTTGAACCAACACATCAAATCTGTTGTTTCCAAGGAGACAGAAGGCTTTACTTACGCCACGGCAGTCTCTCATCAATGCTCAGGGAAGACTGCCCCCCGTATTTCTTATCTCGAGTTACTAAGAGACCTCCAACCTCTGGGGTCTCAATTACCCTGTGGTCATCCCCTGCAATCACACCTTCTAACAGTCACTCTTTATCTAACTTTCTGCAGTCCTGGACTCCAAGGTCCCTACCTCGTCACCTCCTACTGTTTTCTCCAATCTTCATCTCGCATGTACTTTGGTGTCTACCCAACCTTGCATCAACAGCTCCTTTCCCTTTGCCACTTTAATTCTTCAAAGTGTGAAAAATTCCCAAAGAAAGAAATCTTTTCATTTTCCTGTCTCAGTACCTGGATTCTTGACCTCTTCCCACCTGTTGAGTTGTGTGGAGACCAAACTCCCCTCGTTCAGTACCTTCCTCTCCTGTCCCCTCTAAGCTTCTCAA